CTGTATAATGCAGCACAGTATCACCGCTTGGAGAAGATGGATATCCAGGGCGGGTGCGGGGGAAGGAGGAGGGTGCGAGAGCAGCGATTGGAGGGGTGAGGCAAGGACAGGGAAATAATGATCGAGTACCTCAAAGTTTGATGCAAAAACGCATGATCGCACCGGCTCGCCTGGTGCGTTCCAGCCTGGTTTTCTCCTTTTTTCCTTCTTTCCTTTTATCCTTTTTTTTTTATTAACCGTTTCTTGAGGATCAACAGTTTCATCTGCAGTGCATGACGAACTCATTGCGAAAAACTTATATGGCAGCTTGAAAACCTATTTGCACTGCATTTCCTAAGGCGTGCACTATGCCTGCTCGCTTGCGTAACATTTGCTTTAGAAATCAGTGACGATTAAAGAGCTTACAAAAAATCGTCCGGTAAAACGAATGCACTTGGCTGTATCATTCGCAGATATGCACTGTTCGAGCATAAAATTTTGCTCAGCGTTATCTTGCGAATTTCATTCAGTTGTTCTAAAAAAAAAATTATAAGCTTCGCTTTTTATGCGTTTTGTGCTGTGTAACAGCGATACAAAACGCATATTTTCACGCTGTTGTTTGGCAAGAACGACAAACAATAGACGAACAAAGTGGATTACTGAATGGCACACAAGCAGATTTACATTTGTACGTAACAAAACAGCAAGGAAGGAGCCACTGGCAACCTTGCCAAAAGTTGGCTGCTGTTAATTTGTGTCGCCTCTCGAGTTACTTTTCAGTGCTTCAGCTTTTCAGAAAAAATGAACTTTGAAGAAAGTATGAATGTTGATTTCATATATGTGAATTTAAGTAGCTTCTTGTACAAATCAGAAAAATACCGGGCGTAAATTGACCGGCAACATCGCCATTTTCATAGTAAAAGCGATCGCACTGCTTCAGTCTGGCAAACTGCTCGGCTATTAGGCAAGCCATCGTCGGCCCAAGCTGAAACAACACCTCAGCATTGGCTAAAAAGTCTTTTACAAGCACTGTACTTATCTTTATTTGATATTAGCTGCTAATTTACTGATTAGGTTTAGATAGAATTATAGCAAAATTCATGAATAGCTATCAGCTAATAATGAGGCACATCGAACATACTAGAGCCTGAAAACTTATGATGTATATGAAGAAATAATAATTTAGCTGAGTTTAGGATGTTTCGGTCCCTTAATTGCATGCGTCTTAAACCAGTGCCACAAGTGTCCATTTACAGAACGTTACAAAACTGTTTGATCGTATCTATAATTACTGTACTGAACGGTGATGAACTATTCTAAAACGACTCCAGCGTTAGCCCATTAATAAGGTGTACTGGATCTCACCAAGGCACCCTTGACTGGATCTTCGGATGTTAGTCCTGGAAAAAGATCGATATCATCGACATCGTCATAAACACTTTTGAGCGCGCTGATAGCTGAACTGCTCATTTGCGCCCGTAAATCCTCGAATGTTTTTGCTTTTTTCAGACCGCAGAATTCACTAAAACATGATATTCAATCACCTTTCTGTACGTGGAGCCGAAATCATTTGATTTTTAATTTTATTTCTATTTCACAGAAAAAACCCGGATTTTTCGTAGGACTGAAGGAAAAAGAGAACCGGAAATCGTTGTAGGGCTGAACGCCGTGATCCCTGGCCCGAAGAATATTAATGGCGATCAGATCCATTCCGGATGCGGATTCGCCTCTTCGCTCGAACAAATGATTCCGCAAAGCACTCGTTATGTGCCGATCAAAGGCCATACTTGGCGTGCTTAAGAGACCCATCAATATCGAATCCATTCCTGTACTCATTTACTCTATCACTGGCTAAATATCAGGAATAACAAAACCGCGCGGGCATTAATATGGGTACCTCTCATGTAACATGCACAAGGTCAGTCAAGGTCTTTCCAACTCTAAAGAATGCTTTCTTTTAATCCGTACCTACGACCTCTTCGACGTATGTATGCCACCTCTTCGGAGGTCGCTTGAATAATCATTCCTTTTTCGCAGGTCGTCAGCAAGGCAGGCAACATTACATGCCCATCGGATTTTACTTTCTCAGGTGGTCTCAGTGATATCTTGTACTCTGATCATCTGACAGAGAGGTTGATTATTTATAACGGACACAAAAGCCACGTAATTGGGATATTCATACTGGTTGTGGATTTGACATTCTTGATACAAGTGATTCCGAATTTTACTCAAATGAGTACCATTTGGTGGTATTTCCTACTTTGCCGAATAACAAGGAATAACATTTTTTAGAATTCGTCAACTCTCAGCTGCCTGTTTGCTTACCTCCAGCTGTGAAATTATACAAGGGCTCAACGAATCCAAAGTGAGACGCCAGATCAATGGGATCAGATACAGGCCTGAAATTGTTGTCCATACGTGGAAACATTCGTCGAACAAGCGTATGTCCAAATCGATATGCTGCAGTGGCAAACGGTTGTGATATGGCCGGATCGCACGTGTTGTTGTAACCTTAAAATGGCGTACATCGTGAAGAATGAGTACATGTCAAACATAATAACTGTCCCAGCATTATCAGCGGTCTTGAAAATTCTAAGTTTATCAGCGACGATGTGAAGACTACTTAGCGCAAAGCATGAGAGAACTTTTACCAGATTTCAAATTTTCTACACAAAAATTGCTCGAAATAGCTCTCAACACTTGCTTTGTTTGGACATAAAGTGGTAGGCGCGGACACAAAAAAATTCAAGAGCATCTTTCAGTTTTCAAAGAGTAATTTCGGCTGTTCAACTAGCATATTTCCTGTACTAAGTTTTACTAAGCACTTTACTCGAACTCAAAATAAAAAATTTAGATTGGAAAACTAAAGGAACAGCAAGGGTTTTGATGGCCACTGATTAATATCATAATTCCCACATAGTTAAGAGGAAAGATGCAAGAAAAATCAGTTCATACTGACCAGTGAAGTAGCCGTCACTCTGGGGCAGTAGACTGTGTTTTTCAAGCAATTCCAGACCAAGCAGCTTCGGCAAAAGTTCAGAGAAGACGATATGTTGTTGCTGAGCGATAACAATTCGTCGTGCTTCCTAAACAGTTTGCTAAAATGAACACACTCATTGTTTTTTGTAACTCAGATACGTTTTTATTGATTTGTTCAAATTTCTACGAATTTTTGAGGTTTTTGAATATGTCATACCAAAAGCCAAAGCCCTTTCTAAAATGAAAGACGGGAGCACTCAGAAGTATTGGGAGGGCAGCATGTGCCAGCAGCAACATCTCGCTGAGAAGAGTGTTGACGGCTCTCTCTTTCAAAAGTTGCTTAGAAGCGAGCTGACGACGGGTCTGAAATATATACTAAGCAACATTTCCCGAATTTTTCATTGTTAATAACATTATAACCCAGACTGTCATACACCACGCTTGTCGGTACGATTACACGTTTTTGCACTAAACTTGCAGCAGTCAAATCGCTAACAGCATGATTCGTTTCTGCGTTACAGTTTGGCGCGTGAGCACGTGTTGATTGTTTTTTTTTTTTTTTTTTTTCAGAGTTTTCTTGCACGCAGTAGGAAATGGACGCTGGTTAGGGCGATGATGCTGCATCATCGGGCCGCGTATATGTCCAGTTTGAATTTTGCGTGAAGGTTAATCGTTTTTCCGATAACCTTAGTTATGTAGTTGGTAGTCCTCCAGTTTTTTTGACCGATGCTGCATTGCCCGGCGGCCAGCTTGTTGAGGATCAATTTTTCTCCTAGCAAAAACAGTCGGTTTCAAAATTTCATTAATGTGTGCTGAGCACCTGGTACAAAAGGAAGTGTATTAACAGTAGTAACAAAACAATGAAGGATAGAGTAAGGATGCAAAATCTGTGCCGCAGGTGCAATTTACCAGATACCATGAACATACACTGTACCCATTGTAGGTGCCCAGCTGAACAAATCGCTTAATACAAATCCCAAGTTTAGCTGGTGGGTTTTTATACATTACCGGTTCCTCATTTCCGATGATGGTGAGGTTTAGTGAAAGTGGTTCGTAACAGCCTTGGTATTCCTTGGAAGTGCTTTTCGCAGCACTGTGAAACGTGGTTGGTAAATAGATTCACCATACAGGCTGTGACAGTAAGCTCGCAGGTTTGATAATGCGTATTTGCGCTAAACCTGCAGCAATCAGATTGTTTTCTGAACGAATGATTACTGACTTACACTTAGTCTGTGTGTTCATTGGCATAAATTATCGTAAATTTGAATAAAGGAAAATGAACAATTCCCCCTAAACGATAGTTCTTATACAGTGACTTAACTGTTTAACGCGAAATTTCCCCACTCAATTCAAAATTTTCAAATCGTACGTGAACCAGGAAAGTCCCCTTAAAGCTTCAACTCTCCAGTCCTGGCTAAAGGCTAGCAATTTTCCCGCTAAAACTTTCAGGTGCTTGTAAGCAGGGCTTAAATGTGCGTGGAAATTGACACCGGGTTCTTCGGGAAGAGCTTGGGCAAGGAACTCCCTGAAGAAGTTTCAACATCAAAGCCTGCTTGGTTATCGTGTTGAAATACCTGGAAAACGCACACATACATAC